TCTCTCTGCCCCCCTTTCCTGTCAGTCTTCAGCTGTCACTATCATAAAGGCAATAAAAGCCACAAAAAAAAAGAAGAAAAAAAAGAAAAATACCCAACACTAATGTATGCTAAAAACAGTATTGATAATAAAATAGATGAGACAGGATTAAATTAAATGTTGTGTGATTTAAAAGTCAGCAGAGCCCTGCCCCAGAATACACCCTGGCTCATAGGGGTGCAGCAATTCAGCAATGTAGCTGGGAGCTGAAGCTTGGAGTGCTTTAAAGGTGATCAGTAAGTAACATCTTAAAATCAATTCTAAAACTGCCAGTAAAGAGAGGCTATAACAGTGCTGATATGATCCGGTCAAGGACAACAAAGCTAAACAAAGTTAGGTAAAATAAACATAAAACTGTTGTACTACTAGGTAAAAAAGTAGGTGCATATATAAAAATATATGATAAACAGCATACAATGTACAAATCAAGTATTTGTCTGTAAATTGTAAACAATACAGATAATGCAAAGTAATAGAATCAAGTCAGTGTTTCAAAAGCTCCATTACTTTGATAATGGTGTTTTACATTAAGTCTAATTGACTAATAGTTTGAGCAGTACTGTCACTCTTGCATGCAGCTTTATGTGAACACTGTTGTTGTATCTGTGCTGGTTTAGCTGCTGTCCTGTCCATTAAGGAGCCTATTTACTTCAGAGTTTGAATAGAGGATTCATCACTATTAGTAGTGTGTATCAGTGACTCCTGACTTTATTTTTCAGAGTTTAGAAGTATACAATATTACAAACCTAGAACCACAAAGAAAAGGCATGTAAAGATGTTGCCATGTGCAAACAGTTTCCTCAAATCATTAATAATCGTGAACACACAAAAAACAATCTGAATGATCACTTTAGCAAAGAGCATGCAGCCTTTGTACCCAATATGACCTCCCTCTGTTAGATCCACATACACACAGTGTTGTGTGTTCATCCTCTGCAGTACCAGTGTGAATCAGTGTCATAGGAATGGATAGCTCATGTTATCAACCCCTCTGTCAGATGGAGGAAAGTTTGTCTCCAGCTCCAGCCACCACAGCAGAGGAGGCCATGGCTTCATCGGGTGACAGCGGAGAGAGGGGATCGTCTCCCGGACAGTACACAGGCTCATCAGGGGACACCCAGTGTCCCACTGGGGGCCCAGCAAGACGGGAGGAGGCAGCCACTGAGGTGGAGCAATGGGCAGCAGCTGTTCCACCTGTAAGGAATGAGGCTTTCTTAGGATTATATGGAAATATCCCTTTCCCTTCACTCCTGCACAGCATTCATAACAGCCCTGTTTCTATCAAGCACTCCATTCCGGTTCGGTTCAGTTGTTTACACATTAATTAAATTCAATTCAATTT